GAGGCGGCTAACTGCTCACCCCTCAGGCCTCTTGTCAACCTCTATTGCCTCCAGGGAAGAACAGCTCACGACAGGTGTGTTGGTGCGCATAATACGAGTGTTTTAAAGAGATCGTTCATTTTGTGAGATCGTCTTGTTTATCAACATAAAAGGCACAGGCCCCTTTGCTCAGGGCCTGCCGAGGGCGATGCTGGCCGTCAGTCGGTGCAGAGTGGCTCGTCGTTACATTCCCCTGTAGCTTATGGGGTGGAGCTGCACACGCCTCCACAAGGGTAGAGCCACCACAGCCCTTGCTGGTCACTGTCCATACTCTTCTCCGTGCTACTCTGATTTATGGAGCTGTTTCTTATTGACATGAAGGCCTTTTAAACATAAAGAAAATGAGTCCTTTGTGTGTGTGGTGTGTTATACATATTACCCTGGGATTTCTTTTTTGTCTTTTGACTTAGCTTATGGTGTTTTTTACAGAGATTTTATTTATTTAATTTTTTTATTGAGACACTAGAAGCCCAGTGCACGAATTCGTGCACCAGTGGGATCCCTCAGCCTGGCCTGCTGGATCGGGCCGAAACCGGCTCTCCAACATCCCCCGAGGGGTCCCGGATTGTGAGAGGGTGCAGGCCAGCCCGAGGGACCCCACTGGTGCATGATCGGGGCCGGGGAGGGACACGGGAGGTTGGCCAGCCGGGAAGGGACCATGGGAGGGCTCCAGGGCGTGTCCAGCCCGTCTCGCTCGGTCCCAATCGGCTGGACCCCAGCAGCAAGCTAACCTACCAGTCGGAGCATCTACCCCCTGGTGGTCCGTACACATCATAGCGACTGGTTGACCGGTCAACTATCTGCCCCCTGGTGGTCAGTGCACATCATAGCAAGCACTTGGGCGGCCTTAGCATATCATTAGCATATTACGCTTTGATTGGTTGAACGGACGACCGGACACTTAGCATGTTAGGCTTTTATTATATAGGATCAGTGATGTACAGTGTTAGTTTCAGGTGTACTATAATGATTTGGTGTGTATACATTGTGAAGTGATCACCACAATAAGTCTAGTTAAAGTCTATCACCTCACATGGTTACAGAAACCTTTCTTGTGATGAGAACTTTTTTTAATTTATTGATTTGAGAGAGAGAAATATGACTTTGTCGTTCCACTTTTTTATGCATTCATTGGTTGCTTTGTGTGTTTTTTTGTTAATCCTCACCTGAGGATATTTTTTCCATTGATTTTTAGAGAGAGTGTAAGGTCTGGGGAGAGACAGAGAGAGAAACATCAATGTAAGAGAGACACATCGATTTGTTGTCTCGACCTGGGCCAAGGATTTAGATTGCAGCCAAGGTACATGCCCTTGACCAGAATCGAACCCACCACCCTTCAATCCATGGGTCGACATTCTATCCACTGAGCCAAACTGACCAGGGCCAGTTGCTTCTTGTATGTGTCCTGATCGGGGATTGAACCTGTAACCTTGGAGTATCGGGACGATGCTCCAACCAACTGGGATACCAGGCCAGGGCCATGAAGAGAACTCTTCAGATCTATTCTCTTAGCAACTTTCAAACACACAATGCAGTGTTGCTAACTGCAGTCCCCATGCTGTTCATTAAGTTTGCAGCACGCGTTCCTTTTATACCTGGAAGTTTCCACCTTGCCCCTCCCCCATGCCACCACCTGCACCACCTCTGTTGCTCAACGGCCTGGTACCCTCGAATCACTGTTCTCTTATGGCTCCGGGCTTGTGTCGTGAGGCTCCTCGTCAGTTACTTCAAGATGTGACTGGTTTTTCCTCGTGCTTCTTAATTTCATGGTGACACGTCTTTGGTCAGTGGCATTGGCTTCCGTGTGTTGGAGGGATCGGTGGCCTGTTTTTCAGAGGCTCTCCGGCTGGGCCTGCACCGCTGACTGAGCGACCCGCTGCGCTCTGTCCAGTGATGTGTGTTTCTGCACCTGCGCCCCCCAGCCGAGGACCAGCGGCGACTTGGCTACTGTTCGGGAGGCAGGCCCTGCTCATCCCTTGTTCTGTTTTGTTCTCCAGCGTTTCAGGCTTGGTTTCCCACATGAACCTTCACTCAGTGTGTCTAGTTCTCATCAGCATCTGTTGGGAAGTGCGTTGGGTTGTATGTTAATTAGGGAGCATTAATGTCATGGTGTTGAGCCCTCGATGCTCCGGTTACTGGACAGACATCAAACTCAGAGCTGGGCCCCATCTAGGACCCCATCCCCAGAGAGAGAGAAACAGAGAGAGAGAGAGAGAGAGAGAGAGAGAGCGCGCGCACATGCATGTGTGAGAGTGCACATGGGAGTATTTCCTACATCCTGTCAACGCACAAAACATCCAAACCTGTAGAGAATTGTTATAAGAGTTTATTTGAGCTAAACTGACAGCATGTGCCAGGAGCAGATCCCAGATGCTCCGAGAATGAGTTGGCAGCTTGCTTGTGCGTTTGGAATCAGGAGGGGATGTAAGGAGATTACAGGAGGTGGGAGAGCGAGGGGATCGGATTACAGACAGGATCCTGCGCTGTTAGCTCTTCCCTCTTCCCAGTGGTTACGGCTTCAAGGAGGCATGTCACAGGTGTGTTACCTAGAAGCACAGAATTGGGCAGGGCTGGCTCCAGGCAGAGAAACCTTTTACTACAGAAAATAGAGGCCTGGGCGGGACCACCCACGCTGCCCTGCCCCTTGAGGGACTTACGATCAGATCACCTGTGAGGTTACTTTTCGTAGGACCCCTCTTGGTCCACAGTTGGACACGTGGAATGGAGAGCTGCCCACATGGGGAAGTGTTGTGGCCAGGCATTTCCAGATGTTCTGCAGGCGGGAGGCCTGGCTGGGCCCTGGTCCTGCTGCGCACACCGGCCTGCTGGGCTGAGGGGCCTCAAGGGAAGAGTCAGTGACCTCTGGTCTCACGCAGCTTCTGAGTGTGACTTGGGTTTTCTGTGGCAGCTACAGGATCAGATTACTCTCGCCCTGTCTCCTTTCCCTGTGCAAATGCTTTCGGAGCCTTCAGGAGAAAGGAGCTCTAGTGAGCACTTGGATCCCAAGTGGCCAAATTCCTGGCCTTGCTTTCTGGCCCCGAAGGCTCACGCTCCAGGGTGCGGCGTCTGCACCTGTCCGCCTCCGCAGCCCTCGGGCTCGGGGTTGCCTCTTGAGTTGTGGGCCTCTTACTCAGCACGTCTGTGGAGGGGGCTCATCTGAAGGCGAGTGTCCCTGCCAACCCATCAGGGGCTGTCGAGGCTTCACTCGCCCCACCCCTCACCAACCTTCTCCCCGCTCCCGCCCTTGTCACTGATAAGACGCCTTCTAAGTGGTTGGCCTGGAGCTGGAGCCAATTAACTAGTGCACTTGATGCCTCACCACAACCAGCCGGACGGCGGGCTGCGCACTAGTACCAGGGCGGGCAGACGGAGAGCCACGCGGGAACACGCGGAATGAGCACTGTTTCATGGGCTTCCTGTCTCAGTTGTAGGACCTCGAAGGGCATGTCCCTCTTCCTGCCCGGCTGGCCTCCACCCCTTCCGCTCAGGTTTCACTGCCAGGCCTGCCCACGCGGGACTGGCACCCAGGCTGCTCACAGGAGGTGGCGAGGGTGCCGTGGGGGCATCATTCGAGAGCTCACATGAAGACAACGGAGCCACGGCTCTCGTTCCCATTTGAATTCTCACTGCACTGTACTACCCATCTGTCTGTTCTTCTGCCTTTAAAATACTTGCTAAGTTTACCCATCACAGTTGACACAGTGTCATGTTAGTGTCATGTGTGCGCATGTGCCCAGGCAGTCGCTAGTGCTGTTTGCAGGCAGCTCGGCAGCCAGCCTCCTGGGACACACGTGGCGCTTGCTGCATCGGGTGGCCTGTACCCGAGCCGTCCCACCAACACGTGTGCCGAAACACCTCATCTGGACATGGTGCCTGGATGCTGTGCTCAGGCCCAGCCCAGGGCAGGAGTGCACACGTGTGAGTGGGCGGCTCCACAGGGCCCCGTCCTGCCCTCCACACGCTCCTCACAGGCGCACTCCCTCGGGAGCCCCCGACGGACGGCCTTGTGGTTGTGGTCGCCTTCACTGCACAGGGCCGTCCTGGGTGCTCGGTGCGGTGCCTGGTGTGGTGCCAGAGGAGACACTGGTGGGAGCCCAGGTTGCTGCTGCGGGCAGGAGTGGGGCCGCACCTGCAGTGGGTCTGTGCTGGTCCCGCAGAGCTGAACGGTGCTGACCTGAAGGACTGCGTGAGCAACCACAGCCTGAGCAGCAATGCCAGCCTCCCCAGCGTGCAGAGCTGCAGGCGCCTGCGCGAGAGGAGGGTCGCCAGCTGGGCCGTGTCCTTTGAGCGTCTCCTGCAGGACCCCCTCGGTGTGCGGTACTTCTCTGTGAGTAGGACGGGCCCCGGGCTCAGCACCGGAGTCTTGTAAGGGCCCGGAAGGCAGCGCCGTGGGCGGGTCCTGCTGCCCAAGGGGTCTGGGCGCCGTGCCAGCGGCTGCCGCGCGCGCGGGGGCTCAGTTATGGGCAGGTGCTCCCAAGCCCGCCTCTGAGAGCGAAGTGGGAAAGGTCGGAGTGAAGAGCAGTCCGTGGGGAGGCGGGCCCCGGGGATACTGACCCCACTTCTCCGAGCGCAGGTGGAAGTTCACTGACCATGTTTTTCTAGGATTTTCTAAGGAAGGAATTCAGTGAAGAAAACATTTTATTCTGGCAGGCCTGTGAATACTTTAATCATGTGCCCGCACACGACAAAAAAGAGGTACGCATGGTCCTTCGTGCCCAGGGAGGGGTGGCCATGGGCAGGATTTCATGGGGGCACCAGGGGCGGTGGAGAGGGTGTGAAAGCACCCTCACACGGTTCACACCTCTCAGAGTGGGCTTCTCGGGGCCGCTGTGGCATTTCCTTGTGCTGAGCACAGCCTGCGAAATGCCTTCCCGCAGCCGCGCCCCCGCGCAGTGTGGGGAGGGCGGCACGCGGCTTCCAGGCAGGAGGGTGGCACACGGGCTTCCAGGCAGCCTGGGCCCCTCTCATCTTGTGAGGCCACGTGTCAGGCGTGACCCCAGGGCTGCACCAACCCAGCCCACTTCACAGAGACCAGCACACACGGACGGGCACCTGGCGCCCACAGTGGCGGTGCCGCCCACGCCTGTGAGCCACGTACTAGTAATTGCCCATCGGGAAGGTTTAGAGAGGAGCCGAGTTGGTGATGGTCTCATGCTGGCCTGTACTTTGTTTATTCAACCAAGGAGTGCTTACTGCCCCGGGGACTGTCTCCAGCCGGGACCTGGGGGAGCTGTGGTCTGCAGGTGGCTCAACACGCATGTCCCGGCAGCTCTCCGAAAGGAGCTGGGGGAGCTATGGTCTGCAGGTGGCTCACACGCATGTCCCGGCAGCTCTCCTACAGGGCCCGGGAGATTTTCAGCACGTTCCTGTGCAGCAAGGCCACCACACCTGTCAACATCGACAGCCAGGCCCAGCTGGCAGACGACATTCTCAGCGCCCCGCACCCCGACATGTTCAAGGAGCAGCAGCTCCAGGTGAGCCCGTGCCTCCGTTGCCGCGGGGACTCTGGCCAGGCGCGGGGAAGAGGGCTCGGGTCCCAGACAGCGAGCTCCCAAGTGCCACCAGGCGGGGAGGGCAGGAGCTGGTCGGCGAGCTGGGGAGGAAGGAACTGCCTTCCCCGCTGGGCTCTGGTGTCGGGTGTGGCCAACCAGACCCCGGGTCTCAGGGGCGCCCACAATGGCCATCCAGTCCCACTGCCGCGTGCACACCCGTGGGAAATCACAGGCAGGGTGCTGCTCGCGCAGGGCGGGGCAGGAGCAGGGTTACAGTGTGAGGAGGAGAGACGGTCTGTTCTCGCTTCGTTATATATTTGTGTTGTGTAAACTTACTCCTGCCCACCCTGGACGTAAGCTTGGATTTTTTCAATTAGCGCCTCACTGTGGCAGCAGGTGTGCCTGGAGCTCACGCTCTGTTGCCTCCGTTGTAGAGCACGCGCCCCACAGGCTTTCCAGAGTCCTGCTGTGGAGCCACATGGTCATGGGATGAAGAAGGGAGGCGTGGCCACGCAGTCCTTGCTCCCTCCAGATGCCCACGGCTTTGGGTCATTCTTTTTTCCCCCTAAATATGTTTTTATTTCAAAGAGGAAGAGAGAGAGAAACATCAGTGATGAGAGAGCATCAGTGATCGGCTGCTTCCTGCACGCCCCCTCCTGGGGATCGAGCCTGCAACCCGGGCATGTGCCCTGACCAGGAATTGAACCATGACCTCCTGGTTCATAGGTCGATGCACAACCACCGAGCCTCACTGGCCAGGCTGGTTTGGGGCCATTCTTGTCAAGTACAGCTCCCCAGGGTCACCCCTGGCTGTGCTGTCTCCTCCTGGTGCTGGCTTCATGGAGGGTGATGGGATTTGCTGGTTTTAGGTGACAAATGAAAGACTGTGTTACGGGAAAGAGTAGTCAGATGTAAAGGAACTTTGGAAAGTGACTCTGGGGCGTGGGTGGAGAAAATGGCTAATGGCGTCCTTTCAGAAGAGGCCAGAGGAGCCTGAGGTCCCCGCCCCGCGCCTTCAGGGCTGGCTGTCCTGGTTACTGTTAACCAACGTTGTGGCGTGGACTCCGCAGATTTTCAACCTGATGAAGTTTGATAGCTACACGCGCTTCCTGAAGTCCCCGCTGTACCAGGAGTGCATCCTGGCCGAGGTGGAGGGCCGCTCCCTCCCCGACTCCCAGCAGGTGCCCAGCAGCCCGGCCTCCAAGCACAGCGTCAGCTCGGACCACTCCAATGTGTCCACGCCAAAAAAGGTGCTGCTGTCGTGCTCATGCCCGCGGCCGTGTCCGGGGTGGGAGCTGCTCTGCGGGAGGGAAGCTGTGCCATGTGGGTTCCTTCACTCGTGGAGAATGCAGGGCACCTCCTAGGACACGGCATGCTGAGGTGGGGCTGGGGCGGGTCCGCTGGGGTCCAGCTGCCGTCTCTGGACGGGCCTGTCGCCCGTAGAGCAGTTCTCGCTCCCTCGCTGCTGCTCCTCAGCTGCCTAGCGCACTGCACGCGTGGAAGTCACGCACATGGTTTTCTCAACGTTTTCCCCTTGACGACAGCTGACTGGGAAATCGCGGTCAGGACGGTCCCTGAATGAAGACCTGGACGAGGACAGCGAGCGGAAGCGGAAGGGAGTGTTTTTCTCCTGGTCCAGGACCAGGAGCACCGGGCGGTCCCAGAAGAAGAAGGGCCACGGGGACCACACAAACGGTTTGTGGTGTGCGGTCGCGGGCCAGCGCGGCGGGGCTTTAGTCCTCCGCACCCCCTCCCGCTGTCTGTCCTCTCTGTGCTCCTCTGGCTCCAGCAGGAATAGGTGCTGGAAACACTTGCAAAATACACCCAAGTTGGAAAGAAAGCACCGAGGCCCGTGCTCCCAGGCGGCTCTGTCCTGGCGGGGCTCTGGTCCGGTGCGCAGGGCTGCACCGCCCTCCTGGGGTTCAGTGTAGGCCATCGTGTGCCCGCAAGCTTTGTCCAAATTGTCGTTTTTTATTGTAAATCTGAAGGGCTGTGCCGGGGAGACAGGGCATGCGCACCTCGTGCAGTCTGTCCCCCGACAGGACCCAGAGGCTGGGGTCCCCACATCTGGCAGCTCGTTAGCTTTAGACCCTGACTCCGGGCACTGCCCAGGAATCCAGACTTGGTGACGTGGGAATCCGTAGCTTTTGGGAGGAGGGCCAATAGTTCAGAAGGTCAGGGGACCCGGTACCCCTGTGTCTGTGCCCCACTGTGGCCCCCGGGCCGGCACAGCAGGGCCTGGGGAGCAGACCCCAGGTTGGGAAAGGCCCTTCTAGGTGGGTTTTCATGGTTCCCAGCTCAGCCTGGGGTCACATGAGTTCAGTCAGTGACCGTGGGGCGGGGGAGGGGAACTCATCTAGGACTTTGCAGGAAGACGAGCCACAGGTAAAGGTGTGGTGACCGCTGGGTGTTCACTGCTGTCCACAGGGGACAGTTTCTGTTTAGGCCCCAGAAACCAGCAGTTGGATAAAAATTCCAGGTTAAACAAAGCGAGGGAGGTCCTGCCCAGGAGCACTGCCCTGCACTCCCACTTGCCCGGAGCCAGCTGCGCCGGTGGGGGGACAGAGTGGGGGACGGGGGGAACAGGGCAGGGCAGGGGTAACAGGGTGGGGACAGGGGGATGCAGGGGGACAGGGCGGGACAGAGTGGAGCCTATCTCTGCAGCTGTGGAGGCTCCTGGGCTGCAGCAGCCCCAGGGAGGGGACGGGGGAGGGCGGGGGGCAGAACCTCAAAAGGCCTGTTCGTCCTGCCTTCCGTCCTTCGCCTGCGTCTGCTCAGCCTGAGGGAGTGGGGGTGGGAGCTGTGACCAGGAGGTGGGTTTCTGTGTGGAGTGAGACAAGCAAGGCTGTGTGATTCTGAGTCGCTGTGTTTCCCATCAAGACCCCCCGCACGCCAACGGAGGCCTGGGCCGCCGGGAGTCACAGGGCTCCGTGTCCTCCGCCGGGAGCCTGGACCTGGTAAGTCCCCACCTGCCCTCGCCCACGGGCCGCACTGCCTCACGGAGCCCACATGCCCACACGCCTAAGGAGGGCTCCCGAGCCGGTGAGGAGCCCAGGAGTTGGGTGCTCCTCGGGACTGAGACCAGCTTGGGGTCATTTTGGAAGCCTGGTCTCATTCAGTTACGCTGTTGGAATCCCACTGAGAACAGAAAGCTGTGAAGGCAGGTGCTTCGTCCTTGCACGTCCCACTGCCCCAGACATGGCGTGATTGGGGGCCCCACGGGGGCTCCTCTCTGTCCTCCCACCCGCTCTCTGGTTGCCTGGTTGCCTGGGGGACCCGCTGCCTGGGAGGCGACTGTGCGTGCCAGTCTGGGAGCCTGGCCGCTGCGGCGTCTGTCGCTGGGACCTGTCGGGCAGCGCGCGCAGAACCTCGTCTCCGCTGGCAGGGCTGACCGGAGACACTAGCCCGCTCCGCGAGCCACCCAGGGCGCAGGGCGTGGCGCGCTCTGTGGGCAGGGGTTGCTGGGCCTTTGGCGATCAGTCTGCCACCTGCACAGTAGCTCTCTGAATCATGTGGGAGGGGACTTGCCGCGTCCCCGAGGAACCATGACAGGAAGTGCCCAGCAGGCCAGCTCCACAGGAGGCCTGTGCAGGGGCGTTTCTGGTGAGGAAGCGAGTTGTGACTCAGGCCCAGGGGAGGGGTCAGGAGAGACCCCTGCTGCCCTGGGCTGGCCTCACCCACATCCCGCTGCCCAGGAGCCCTGCCTCTGAGCACCGCGGGCTGGCGCAGGGGTTGAGTGCTGCCTAGCAGTTTCCCGAGCTCTGGGCCTGGGCGTGAGTCCTGCAGACAGACCTGCCCCGCCCCGCCCCGCCCGCAGGTGTGTCCCGCTGCTCCTGGGCGGGGCCAGCAGGTGAATGCCATCCTGCTCCAGGCGGAGGCAGCTAGCATTCCCTGGGCAGACAGCAGGCTCTGTCCCTCATGCTGACAGGGCAGCCCTCTGCCAGCACCAAACATGGGTGGAGCCCAAGTCTCCCTAGGCCCCCTCAGCCCCTGCCTACCCCTCCGTGGCTTCCCAGCACCTGCCCTCGGGTTGACCTGCTCTCCCCTAGATCAGGCTGTTCTTCTCGGAGGGGCTTTGGAGCCTGGGCCGGGAGGTTGGGCAGAAAGATGACGGAAAACAGCAGAGGGGCCCCCGGCTGGGCTGGTCCTCGGGACCCCTGTGTGGGTTCCAGCCCGCCATGTGGTCCCCGCCCCACGGACTGAGGTGGGCGAGGGCAGCTCAGCGTCACAGCGTGGCCTGTTCTGGGGGAGCTGGCTACGTGTGGGCCCAGGAGCACTTGGTTCTGAGGCTGGGCAAGGCTATGAATAGTGTCTGAGCAGGAGGAAGCCCACGGCTGTCCCTGTGTTAGCGTGGCCCCCACCCTAAGTGCACAGCGAGGGTGTCGCACGGATCTGCATCTCTGGAGCTGGATGTGGGCCTCCCGCGGCGCATGCAAGCTCCCATAGCTCTTCTTGGGGTGCCCCACAAGCTCCCCGTGACCCCAGCGCCATCTCTTCCCCAGTCAGAGGCCTGCAGGACGCTGGCGCCCGAGAGGGACAAGGCCGCCAAGCACTGCTGCATCCAGCTGCCCGACGGGACGTCCTGCACGGTTCTCGTCAGGGCGGGGCTCCCCATCAAGGAGGTCCTGGCCGGACTCTGCGAGCGACACGGCATCAACGGGGCCGCCGTGGACCTCTTCCTGGTGGGCGGGGACAAGGTACTGGGCCCTTGGTGTTAGGCCCTGGCGGTTGCCCTGCTCTGAGCTCCGTGTCTAAGCCGTTTGCTGGAGGCCGTGGAGGGTGGGTCCTGTGGCTGGGCCCCTGCCTGCTGGTGTGGGTCTGTCTGCGGCTGCTCCTCTGCGGCACCTGGGCGTCCCTGTACCTGGGCGTCCACTGCACCTGGGTGTCCCTGCACCTGGGCGTCCGCTGCACCTGGGCGTCCCTGCACCTGGGCGTCCCTGCACCTGGGAGCACTGCCGGGCGCCCGCTCCCTCTGATCCCACCTCTCGTTCCTCCTGGTTCCCAAGCCCCTGGTGCTGCATCAGGACAGCAGCATCTTGGCGTCTAGGGACCTGCGCCTAGAAAAGCGGACTTTGTTTCGGTGAGGAAAATGCAGTTGCCATTCCCATGAGCTCCCAGAAGGCTGGGCCCATCCTGAACGGGGTGGGGCAGCCGCACGCAGACCCTGGAGCCCAAGGGGCCAGAGGGTCGCGCTCCCTGTCCCATGACAGAGGGCCACACCCAGGGGTGGGCAGGCTGGATGGAGTTGGCCATCCTGTGGGGGAGGGGTTCTCTCTTTGCTGGTGTGACAGCCCCTCTCACCCCCCAGAAAACCTTCCAGAAGCCCCCCACAGCCCGCTTCCACAGCCAGAACCTGGTGCTGGATCCGGCGGCCCCGGGTGTAGCGAAGTGAAGACTGGGTGGGTCTGCGCAGATGTGCTCACGCCTCTCCCCCCACAGGCTGGACCTGGTTCCCATTAACCGCTCGGTGGGACTCAAGGCCAAGCCCACCAAGCCCGTCACGGAGGTGCTGCGGCCCGTGGTGGCCAAGTACGGCCTGCACCTGAGCGAGCTGGTGGCCAGGCTGGTGAGTGACTAGGGGCTGCGGCGTGTTCCCTGAGCTGGCAAACGGGGCGCCTGTCGCAGGGCCTGTGCCGGAAGGCCCCCCCCTGCCCCCCCGTAGCGCTGTGGTGCGCCAGCAGCTGCCACGCCCTCAGCTCCCCCACGCTGGCCGGGTGGGCGGTGTCGCCTCCGTCCCCCACTGTCTCATCCTGTGGAGGGGACGCTGGTTTCTTTAGACTCGGTCATTCCCAGGGGGCTGGGGCCGGGGCTGGGCTGGGGTTTGAGAGGTGGTTTTGGTCCAGGGAAACCAAACTGAGGAACAAACAAGACCCCCTGAGCTCTGCTGAGCAGGTGCAGGTCCCAGCAGACAGCGGACGGGTGCCTCCGCCCTGCGCCGCTCAGGCCAGCTGCCTCGGGCGCATCTTCCCATTAAATTTCCTGGTTGCCACCCTAGCCGCTTTGCCTCAGTGAGTAGAGCATCAGCCACGGACTGAAGGGTCCCGGGTTCAATTCCGGTCAAGGGCATGTTGCAGGCTCCATCCCCGGCCCTGGTCAGGGTGCGTGCAGGAGGCAACCAATCGATGTGTCTCTCTTGCATTGATGTTTCTCTCTGTCTCCTCTCACTTCCACTCTCTCTAGAAATGAAAGGAAAAATATCCTTGAGTGAGGATTAACAAAACTAAAAAATTTCCCAAGTCCCATCTCACACTGGGCATTTCCCAGGGCAGGGCTGCTGAGCTAGTGGGGGCGGGGACAGGGTGAGGAGGGGGGGAGAGGGGAGAGGGCTAGAAGAAGAAAACCCTGGGGCAGAAGGAAGGCGGTGCTGTAAGGCTGTAGCCCAGGCCGTGCTGCGGGGCTGTCTCTGCTGCAGGCTGTTGGCCAGGCCCCCATCTCTCTGGAGTCACTGCCTGTCTAGCAGCTGCACCCGTTTGCTTCAGAATACGGTGATTTATGATTTAGTTTGCCTGCGTTCTCATTTTTTTAGAAAATAAACTACTGGAGCTGTGATTTAAAATATTTCAGCGTTTTAATTTTCTCTGACACGGGCCCTAAGACGGTGCAGGCTCTTGGACGTGAGGAGAGGACTGTGTGGAGCGGGTGGTGGAGGCCCGGGAAGCCCGAGGCCCCTCCCCTCAGCACCCGGAGGCCCGACGTGCGGGCCAGGCTCCCTGGGCCTCCCGCTCTCTCTTGAGACCCCAAGCTACTGCGTGACCCTGTGGCCTCAGTGTGCCTGTCTGTAAATGGGTTAGTCAGGGCTGTGGTGGGACTTCCGGGCTGGTGGCGGTCAGGGCTCCAGGGGTGGAGGCTGTGACACGTGGCTTTTCTGTGGACTCACCAGCTGACCCTTCCCTGAATGTGTGCGTCCACGGAACCGACATCATGAGAGAGGCAGGGCCAGCGTGGTGGCCGCCTCCCTGGGCGAGCTCCGGCCCGGCCTCCTGCAGGAGTGGCCTCTGGGCACTTTGGGCCTCATGGCCAGCGGGGAATTTAAGAAGCCGCTCCAAGCTCAGGCTTCTTTCTAAACAATGGCTGGGGGTCCTGAATAGCAGGTGCCCCCCCCATGCCCCGCCCCGGCCCCGCTCCCTGTCCCTGTCCACAAAGGCAACTCTGTCCTGTTCACGTCCTACCTGTGCCCACAGGAGTGGGGCGAGGCCCGTCCAGGTTGTGAGCAGGGTGAGACCTGGATGCCAACTCGATGCCTTTGAAACAGGACGTTTGTGGGCTGAGAGGGTTGCAGCCTCGCCAAGTGTCCTCGCCCCAGGCTTGGATCTGGCGCAGGGAGGCCACCAGCTGTCACTCGAATTCCAGGCACCCTGGGCTTCGGGCTGGGCACCTCTGGACTGCCCTCAGGCAGCCCGGCCAAGGTGGCGGCACCCGGGGTCACCTGGCGTGCAACGACATCAAGGCTGGACCGGTCTTGCTGTCAGTAGCTGGATGTCAGAAAGGTGTTCTGGAAAGTTCTGGTTCGGTGAGTCATGTGGTGCACCACCTTGGTCTCTAGAGTAGCGAGAGGGAGCCCCTGGACCTCGGCGCCCCCATATCGAGCCTGGATGGACAGCGGGTCATCTTGGAGGAGAAGGAACCCCTCCAGAGGGAAAGGTGAGCGAGCCCAAGAGTCCCCCCTCTCACTGCCTCCCACCAGCCCATCCCTGAGCCCACCAGAGGCCCTGCCTCCCCTCTCCCCCTCCACCCTCTAGAGCCGGGCCTCTGAGGCCGGGGCTAGCCCAGTCCTGCCTGGGCAGAGGCAGCAGGACCAGGAGCATGAGGGCCTCACCCGGTGACAGGCCCTGCGCTCCCCCAGGACTGCCCGAGGTTCAGCACGCCTGGTGTGGGGCGTTAACGAGACACAGAGACACAGCTCTGGTCCTGTGAACGGGGGACACACCCGGGCCTCGCGGACTGGGGCTGTTGCCGTCCCGTTGTCCCCGGTGTGCGGGAACCTGTGGCTCCGGGAAGGTGCTTCCGCCTGGCCCCACAGCCCTGCCCCTGCCTCCCGCAGCAGCTCTCCTGCAGAGAGCTTACGGGCTGGCCCAGCAGGGGCTCGGACCAGAGACCTGAAGGCTGGCTCAGTTCTGAGATGCCTGCTGCCTCCCCCAGGGACCTGCGGTGGCCCTGGTGGTGGCTCCTCCCCTGGGGAAAGCAGAGTGGGTCCTGGCCGGCCCTGGTCCAGGAATGCCTGCTCCGTGCTCCTCCCGCCTGCTCAGGGCCAGCCCAGCCG